TGCTGTCAGCAAGCACGAGGGCGGCGAGTCGAAGCGAAGCAGGGGCGCATCGCCGTGAGCGGGGTCCGTCGGCGCCACCTCGCACATCACGCGCGACCCCGCAGTCGCAATACGCCCAGTCGCCCGCCACCCCACATCGCCCGTCGCCGCAATCGGGCGCCACAGTCGCAACAGACCCAGGCTACCACCACTGCACATGCTCACGCGCGACGGAGAGCTGCAATCCTCCTCCTCACTGTCAGCCCGGGGCGAAGTGGTCAGGCCCTCGAGCCCTTCGAGCCCATCTTGCTGCTGCCCTTGGGCCCCGTCGACACCATGCCCGACTTGCCCTTGCCCTTGCCCTTGCCCTTGCCTTTCCGCACCTTCTCTAGGAACGCCCTGCCGCTCAGCTTGCCGCGATCTGCGCCTAGGTCCTTGGTGGCCCGCGGCGGCCGTCGAGCATGCGGACCGCCCCCCTTCTCGCCCGACCCGAGCTGCACGCGGCGCTGCGGCACCGCGGCGGGCGTCGGAGCGGAGCTCCGCGCCCGCCCAGCAGGTGGCGCGCCCGTGCCGCGGGCTGGCAGCGGCGAATGCGGCGAACCCCCTCGGCTCGGGCTCGTCCGCGAGGGACCGCTGCCTCCCGCTGCTGCAGCGCGTGCCGAGGGGGACGGCGGCTGGCCTCGAGCTGCCTCGCCACCTGCGCCGCCACGGCTCGCGCGCTGGCCTCGTGCCCCTGCCGCCTCTGCACCAGCGCCGGGGCTCTGCCGCCGCCCTTGGCCTTGCGACGCGGCCGTCGCCTGGCCGCCGAGGTCGGCGCACCTGTCGTAACCGGAAGGGTCGGTGACGCTGGGGGCGGCGGTTCCCCGCCGCCAGGCCGCCGAGGGGAGGACCGCGTCACTCCTGAGCCCCCCCTCGGCCGGGCCCCTAGGGGTGCTTCGACCCATTCTTTCCCGCCAACGATAAGTGTTGAGCCAGCTTCGCCTCATCGGTGAACGCGTTCACGGCGTCTCGCACCTCGTTGGCCCGCGCGAGGCTCGCATCCACGTCACCGATTACCTCCAGGTGTTGAGCCACCTGTCAGTGGCTGTCTTTGCGAGCCTGCTCGATCGCCTTCCGCCGCTGCATCAACATGTCGCCCAGCTCGGGCAGCCGACCAGCCAGCAACGCGTCAAGGCACTCACCGATCATCCTCATCTCCTTGGTACTCCGCAGCCCC